GGGTTCCCCTGCCAAACTTGTCTGCAGGGCCTGATCCCGTAGGTGTGGTCAGAGGCTGCCCAACTCCATACAAAACAGCTGGGGGGGGGGGTGGGGGACAGCTCCCTTGTAACATTTAGCCCAGTGGTGAGGGTACTCACCTGGGATGTGGGAGACCCCATGTTCAAGTCCACCCCCCTCTGCCTGATGAGGAGAAGGGATCTGCCACCTCACCGCTGAGTGCTCTAACCCCTAGGATACACAGTGATTCTCCCTTTTCCTCCAGCCCAATTAATATTAATCAATGATGTATTTAAAGTGGAACAACTTCAACAGGAGAGTGAAGGAGTCCCACATCAGAGTATCCCATAGCCCAGTGGTTAGGGCTCTTAGAGAGGTGGCAGAACCCTGGTCAAAACCCTTCTCCCCCTCAGGCAGAGGGAGGACTTGAGCCCTTGGTTTCCCACTTCCTAGGTAAGTACCCTCACCACTGGGCTAAAGCTTATAAGAAACCTTCCCTTCCCCCAGTTGTTTTGTGTGGAGTTATGTGGCAGCCTCTGAGCACACCTACTGGATCAGGCCCAGCACACAAGTTAGGTGAATGAATGCCTATCTTCCCCTGGGTGTGGATTGCTCTGGGGCTTAGGGTAAGAGATAGACATCTGGGTACCTAAAGTAGGGTTGCCAATTTTGGTTGGATGTATTCCTGGAGGTTTCATCACATGACGTAATCTTTACTTAAAGATTAATCTTTAATTCCTGGAGACTCCAGGACAATCCTGGAGGGCTGGCAACCCTAGCCTAGAGGGAGGCAGCAGGGTACATGGCCAGAGGCAGAAACATAGGTGTAGAGTGCACTTTTAGGGCATGTCTACATGTATAGCGCTGCAGTGGTGCACTTGAACCAATACAGCTATGCCGCTGCAGTGCATGTGGTGAAGACGCTTTATGCCGACGGGCATAAAAAGCGCTCTCCTGACAGCATAAAAAACTGACCCTGGTGAGCGGCGGTAGCTATGTTGGTGGGAGAATTTCTCCCGCCGACATAGCGCTGTGCACATGAAAACTTATGTTAGTGTAACTTCTGTCACTCAGGGGGGTGGAATAGTTATACCCCTGAGCGACATAAGTTTTGCTCACATAGGCAGTAGTGTTGACATAGCCTTACTCTAAAAAACATAGGCAGCTGAGAGGGAGTTTTGTGGATCATGGTGGCCTCTAAAAGTAGTACATAGGTGCCTAATTCTGGGAGTTAGGTGCCTATGTACCTTTATGTATCCAGGCCTGAGGCCTTGCTTTGAGGTACTTAACCATATAAGTAGTATTATTAAAGTTAATGGAAAAATTCAAGTGTTTAAGTTAGGCATATGCTTAAATACTTTTTGAAAATCGGGGCCTTGATCGCCTTATATCTCAGTTCTTCATTGTAAAATAGGGGCAATACTTCCCTGCTCCAAAGAATAACTTCATAAATGTCTGTGAGGCTTTCAGATGCTCTGGTGATGGAGGATATACAAGTATCCAAATACACAAGCAGTTGTGGGGGAGGTGTTTTGCCGACACCCCCCCTCCCCCAAGTTGTTTGTTTACTCTGACTTTGCATAATAATAGAGATTGCCCCTTCAATCACCAAAAATAGGTGGAGGGGACTAATATACTCTGCTAAGGAATGGAACCCAGGCAATCTTCCATGTCATGATACATTTGAGTAGGCTACAGACCAATTGGAGTACCTGTCAATTCACAGAGAGAGCTCGAGAGAGAGCGCAAGTAGATATTTGATTACCGACATGACAGAATCAGACTATTTAAAGTCTCTGATATGGGTTGGCATGCTGCTCTGGGTTATATCACATTTCTCAATATATGTAACATGACAAGATGCTGTTCAAGATAACAGATCACTCATCTCCACAGATTCTGCACTTCTCCTCTTCAGATTTTCTGTTGATTATCTTATTATGCCTGTTTGCTAAGTGCATTTTAAACCAACTCTTAACAGGACCATATAGTAGGTACCCACTCCGCTTCCAACCTTACCTTACATTGAATAGAATATTCAGTCATAGCTGATGGTAGTGCAGCTTCTATAAATTGATGACTGTGGCCAGGAAAACAAAGTTCTTACTTTATTTTGAAGGATACACTAACCTCATCTTAAAATTACTGCTAATAAACAAAATGGTTCCCTATATATCTCAGTAAATGGCAACTAGGGTTGTATTTCCAGAACTAAATGAGATACAGTATCAAAAATGGAGATCACTACTTATACATGAAAGCCTGCATAGGCAAAAATCTCCTTGTGCTGCTTTTAGTGACGTACTAGTGACATTGTGGCTCTTCAATGTGGTGGATGTTGGGAATGAATCCACCTCCAATGCAGCCTGTGGGCTGGAATGGCAGCCAGTCTTCGCCTGTGCTCCCTACGTGCAAGGTTCCTATGTATTAGTTCTATACACAAGTGGCTCCAGACTATTTATCTCCAACTCTCCTAATGGAAACCCCCAGACTTGCAGAGGATGTGATTAGTCACTTAACTGGTATTCCCCCTCATGCAGGGCCAATGTGACAGTTCCATAGCCAAGAGGGCCTTACATGAAACCTCCACCAGCAAGCGAATGTCACCCACAAAGATTAGTAATGCTAGAAATTGGAGTTCTCTCTGTTCAGCCAACCAGCTAAAAGGAAACTATTACTTTGTGCTTCCCACCAGTGGCAATGATCTTGACTAACTGAGTTCTCCATCCTAAAGGAATAAGTCCTTGGGTTACCTCAGCACTGAATCTCTCTTCAACAGAAATCTCCTGTGTAGGGGTTTTCTGATACCATCTGGGCTACTGTCCACACTGGGGAATCTAGCTGAGACAATAGTAATAATGTTTAGCACTTACACAGTGCTTCTAACCACTTTACAAACTTTATCTTATTCATTCTCACAACACTTCCCTGGGACAGCTAATATTAACAACTCAATTTTACAAGTGGAAACTGAAGCAGAGAAACTTGCTCAAGAATTTCAGGAGGAATCAGCATTCGAAAAATAATTAGATCGCAGCAGCTTCAGGTTCATGGTCCTCTGTGCAGACCACTAGTCCAGGCCTGTTCCCTGATAAACTTAATTGCAAGCACAGCAAGACTCAGTCATGTTTTGTTCTGAGACATGAACAGCCATTACGCTCCTCTTCCCCTCTCTGCCCCACATATTCTATACATCTCTTCAGCAATGTTCTAATTTGGAAACTGGCTCTGTAAATAGAATTTGTTGGCAAGCTGTGCAATCCCCTTAATGAAATCTAGACATGCCATGCAGCAGTTTTATGACATATGCTTAACAATTTCATTTTACATTCATCTGAGCAACCTCCTGAATTTTAACCTTCAGTCCAGAATATAAATTTAGGGATGACAGTTTCATTGGAAAGAGGGGGGAGGGGGCTGGGTGGGGAGGAACATGACATAATTAACTGTCCAAGCATAAAAATATTGGTTTAGCTTTTTTTTGTTTTTTCCCCTCCAGTATTTAAAAGAATTAAAAACCCCACGTCAAAGCCATAAATTTCTTACCCCACAGAGCCATAAAGACAGAGAAGAAGACAGTTGCTGGATTGTCAAACAGGTGACTCGCTCGAGCAGTGGCACAGGAAGAGCTCATTTTCCAGTAACTGCATGTATTGTCACATAGAGGACACATGGTGATATTGTTTCTCTCATCACACATCTCCATACTGTGAGGAAAGCAACAAGTAAATGCAAAGAGTAAGGTTAATACATTTAATCTGCCATGCACAGGTTCTCTCTTCTGATAAGACATTTGTCCTCTGCATATGCTCCCGGTCACTGAATGCACATTCAACCTGCAGGGCTGCCAAATGCTCCCTTCGTATTTCTTCTCACTTCTCAACCTCTTCTTAGTATTGTTACTTATTTTGTATTATGGTCAGTCCTAGAAGCCCCAAATGACATCAGGGTCCCACTATAGGTCTGATCCAATTCCCATTCAGGTCAACAGGAGTCTCTCCATTGACATCAAGAGGAAATGAATCAGGCCCTATGCTATTCACTGTATAAACACAAAGTGAGAGAAAGAGTCTGTTCTGAAGTGCTTACAATGTAAATAAAGGCAGACAAAAGATAGGAGAAAAATAAGTATTAACCCCATTTGATACATGGGGAACTGAGGCAGAGAGAGAGAGAGAGAGAGAGAGAGTCTGTGGCAGACCTGGAAACTGAACTCCGATCTCCAGTGCTTTAATCACAAAACTGTTCTTCCTCTCTACTGTCCTCAAGACGATACCCTCACTTAGCTCTGTCTCTGGAACTACACTATCAGGAATATGTGACCTCAGATCAAGGCAACAATGTTAGAAGAGGCACATTAAATGAAATGGATCCAATGTTTTTGGCTTTGACCTGCACTCCATTTACTGGGGAAAAGAGACTGTCTGGCAGTCTGGTCTAAAGTTTGCTGTGTGGTATGAGAAAAAGTATCTCGGAATTGTCATTAGACCACTACTACATTCATGGATCTTAGCATCACATTTTTTAAGGTGCCTCAATTGAAATGCTAATTTTGCATCTACAATCAATTGCAGGTACAATCAGTCGCATGAGAAAGTGATAGAGTTTAGGGGCTAGATTCTCTAGTCCTTCTGAGCTAAGCTAGGGATAGGGACTGGTGGGGTGATAGGCAAAATTGATTTCAACCTGCGCCAGTGCCCAGCATAAAGTACAGCAGGAAGCAGAGTGCTCTACTTTAAGCATGACTGCCTATGGTTCCCAGCAATTACTCTAGCAGCTGGGGCATGAAGATGAGCCCACTACATCCTCTACACAGAAAAATCCCCTATGCTAGAGGCTGGTAAGGGGATATCAGAGTAGCTTCTATGCTGGCTGCTAAACTTGTCAACAGTTGGAGTGATGCAAACCAACCCTATCAGACCAGAAAATTTCCCCTGGACATCCAACTACATGATTTGTGGACACAGATATCGTTCCTGGTTGATATCTAAATTTCTATCATTTTCACATGAAACAGTTTATGGAAGCAAAACTGGAAATGCAAAATTAGAGGCCTTTTTTTTGAAAATGTACAATAAATAACTAAATAGTATAATTAAAAAACACCAGGCACCTGGATTTTACTAATTTGACCAGATTACCTAGTTTAGACATATGTATTCTTGAGCTGTCTTTGTTGTTCACAGTAGATGCTATCCACTACTTTATAACAGACATATCGTCTGTGTTCTGGTTACACAATTTTTTTAATGTTCTTTTAAGATTAATTTATATAATGATCTGATCTACAATTATGAAAAGGACAGAAAAGTTGCTGTCAACAAGTGAGCTAAAATAAATTATTTTTAGCACATACCTCATCAACAGGCCACACATGATTATTTTGTCACATCTCTGGGGATTTAAGTGTATATAAACTCAAAACTAAGCAAGTGCTGATTCATCATAAGCTTAACAGTGGCCTTCTATTTTGTCTACATGCTATCTGTTTTTGCCCACAGCTGTTTTCCAGATTCTACTTTCTGAGAACATATATTTTGTTCTGTACATATTTTATCTTTCTACTGTGGAGAACAAACTCTTAGATGAATACTGTGAATACTTATACAGTGTCATGCACACCTATGGCACTGTATTAATAAATAATAATAACAATTCATTATTAGATTATTAAGGTGGTAGAATACTGATAACATAGCATTTTTGCCAAGTACTGGATATTGTAGGCTCAGTCCTGAGACCTGCTTCAAACCCTTTGGAGAGCTCCAGCATTAAAAGGGAACAGAAAGAGGCCAAATGTTCCCTGCTAGAGAGTCCCCTGGTGTGGAAGAGTACCCATCACGTGTAAAGTGCTCAAATGGATGAAGTATGCAGGAGGTGTGGCCAAAGCTGACTGTGCTCTGGCAATTGCAGACTGGCAGATAGACACTTGGGACCCATCACCAGACAGCATATATTAATGCAGTCCATCAGACAGAGGCTGGTGTAGAGCTGGTTCCAGGAATGGCGAGTTGTAACTAGCTTCCTGGTGTGCCAAACTCTAGGCCTTAATGACACTACACTTTCACAGATATGTAGCATTTTATTTTGGGTTTTTAGTTGCTTCAACCAAGTACCAGAAGGAAAAACTGTTGTTCAGAACAAAATCATGCAATTATCTTAATTTATTTTACATATCGTTCAGCACTGATATTTCCACTATACCTGACAAACTAAAACAAATGCCCAGAAATCTAATCTTTTCTCATCTCCAATGGCCAGAAATAGTTCACATCAATCAGATGATGCAGCAGTTCTAAATTATAATTGTTCCAGAACCAGGCTGCCTAGATTCTTAAACTGCTGGCACGGACATTCTATTTTATGATTAATTGTATCTTTACTCCAACAGCTAAGAAAATTTAGTGATGTTAAAACTTTGCCAAATTATCTGATAGGGGCACATGTATTCACTAAAGCCTTGATTCTGCAAACACACATGATTAACTTTATATACCTGAGTAGTCACATTGTGTGTTTATGACTGCAGCCTAACTGTGGAATTCAACCTGATGCAGAGAGGCAAGGCTTGTACTGGAATTGTGCAAAGGAGAAAGACTGGCTGCACAGGGTGAATTCATGTACCTCGTACACCTTTTCATAGATTTCATGGCCAGATGGGACTATTAGATCATCTAGTCTGCCCTGTATATCACAGGCTAGTAAATTTCACCCTATTACTCCTATACTGAGCCCAATTACTTGGGTTTAAATTGTTGTGTGCCACAAGCAGAAAACAGGAGAGACTGAGGTGCCACCAACACCTTGAGGCCCCGGAAATGGAAGGGAATTGATTAGGTGAGATTAGCCCAGATGATCCTAGCAGGTGATTTGTGCTCCATGCTGCAAAGGAAGGTGAAAACCTGCTAGGTCCCTGCCAATATGATTTGGAGGGAAATTCCTTTTCAACCCCAAATGTGGTGATCAGTTGGATCTTGTGCATGTGAACAAGATACACCAGTCAAGCTTCTAAGAAAAAGGATTTTCTGTGCCTCTTCAGAGCCTTAGGTTCACCCTGTCCGGTGTCCTATCTCCAGCTGTGGCCACTGCCTGATTCTTCAGAAGAAGGTGACTGCCCCCTGCTCCCACCCTAAATACATCTGGCCAATTGTGCTTTGGGGGAAAATATCCTTCCTGACTCCTGCAGGTGACTGACTGAATCCCTGAAGCATGAGATTTGTTCATAATCATTATCTTGAAGCAGAGCTGCAAGTGTTTTGAGCATGGAGAGAGCTTCCTGTTCTCTCCAAGGCCCATGAAGGGAACAAACGAACATCAGGATTCACAGACTCTAAGGCCAGAAGAGACCACTATGACCATCCTACGTCCCATGTGACTTCCTGCAGACACAGGCAGAATTTTTCCTAGAAGCTGAATTTAAATATCTTTCTAAAAGATATGCTTTATCTCATTTTAAAGATTCCAAACAATGATGGTGAGTCCACCACCACCCAGGTAAGATGTTCAAAGTTTAATCATCCTCCCTGCTAGGAAATTACGTCTTATTTCAAAGTTGACTTCCAGCCATTGGATCTTGTTATTCCTTTGTCACCAAGAATAAAAAACCCCTCCATCAGATATCTTTTCCACGTCTAAATACCTGTCACAGTGATCAAGTTACCTCTCAAACTTCTCTTTGATAAACTGAACAGATCAAGCTCCTTAAGTCTCACATTGTCATTTTTGAACTCTATACAGTATGAATTCTCTCTATGCCATGAATGATGCGAATGAACTTTATGAAGGCAGTCTGATGGAAGGCAGGGGAGGGGCTCCACCATCTGTGTTTATGAAGCTCTAATGATTCTATCACACTACATAAGGGCCGTGGCCAGTATTCCAACTGATGGCCTGGTCCCAGGTAGGATTGAAGATTTCACTGCTCTAACCGTATTCAGCACCAACATAAAGCTTGAATAAATGATTGGTGTCATAAATATAATAGCCTGGATTCTGAATGCCGTTTGGATGTGTAAAGAAATAAAAGTGAGTATTTGCATATTTTTTTTTACCTTGGTATATTCTCATCCACGGTCGCACAGCCATACAGAAACACAATAACCCCTACAATGGAAGCAGGAATGAGCATTTGAGTATAAACTCCCAGCCAGGCAAAATACAGTCCAATCTTCTCTCCAAAGTATTTTCTGAAATACATTGAGGAAAAAAAACAATGAAATGTTTACTAGATCTTAAAATATATCATGGCTAAAATTATGAATCACAGCAGTATTAAGCTTGAAGGGGAAAGTAAACTCTTGACTAGCTGGAATGCATTTCCCCTAGGAGGATTCCTTTTTGCACGCCCCTTGGAATGAATCCAGTGATGGAGGAACCAAAAAAGTCAGTTATCCCTACTAGCCAAACTCTTTTGCTCCTCTGTGGGTCTAAACTGATATATTTAGATTAACCATGATCAAATTTCCCTAAACAAAAATTTTGCCCTTTTCTTTATTGAAATTACTCCATGGTCCCTGAATCTCAATAATGACAAACAAAACTCATCCTCAATAAAAAGAAGGAAAAAAAATCAAAATCTTGTATTCTTTTGTGCGCCTTAAATTCCCATTGTGGTAAGCAAGACTTTTGAACCCAAGAGAGTGTGAAGTGGGAATTTAGAAAAAGAAAGCCTTGTCCCTGTTCCCATTAGAACTTTAATTTAAACTTAACTGCAAACTCAAATGCATCTTCTGGTTTAAGTCACTTGAAGGGACCGCTGTAACTATACTAAATGTCTGTTTCTCATCTGGACCCATCACTTTCTGGTTTTCATGCTTTGTCGGTCTGTCTAATGGTCTATAGAGCCTGCACCCCCAGCCAGAGCCCTCACCCCCCACACCCTAACCCTCTGCCCTAGCCCTGAGCCCCTCCCACCCCCCCGCCCACCCCAACCCTCTGCCCTAGCCCTGAGCCCCTCCCACACCCCAAACCCCTCATCCCCAGCCTGAGCCCTCATCCCCTCGCACCCTAGCCCTCTGCCCCATCCCTGAGCTTCCTTCTGCATCGTGAACCCCTCATCCCCAGCCCCATTCCACAACCCTCACCCCTGCACCCCAACCCTCTGCCTGAGCCCCTCTCACACCCCAAACCTCTCATCACCAGCCCCACACCAGAGCTCTCACATTTTTGTATTATTTAAAAATATATATATCGCCTTACAAGGCAGGGGTGGGGGGGGGGGCGGGACTTGGACCTGTTCTGGGCACCACCAAAAATTATACAAAACCTGCCATCCCTGCTACGGAGGGAAGGTAGCTTTATGTTCTACCCAGGGAATCAGCACGTATACTGGGTGCCCCGGCCCTGACCCATCCCTAGCAAGTTCTGCCCCCCTCTCTCACTCTGAGCTGCATCAAGGACTCCAAGCCTATAGAAGGTTTGTGTCTTTCTTCATCATCCCCCAGAGAGGACTTTCCACTGCCAGGAATCCCCAGCCAGGGAAACCAGTAGAATCCAGGGAGAGAATCAGGCCCTGTATCTGTATCTGTTAACTTTATGAGGGCAGTCTGGTGGAAGGTAGGGGAAGGGCTCCAGGATCTGTGTTTATGAAGATCTAATGATTCTATCACACTGCATAAAACTTTATGAAACGTCTAAAATTCTGCCTGGAAACAGGACATTTAGAATTCTCCTTACCTCACCAGGTCAATTGGCTGGTATTTATAAAAGACTCCATAGCTTGCCCATTCCTCACACAGGAGCTATAAAATAAATCACAAATGAAAGCTAAAATAAGGCATCATGTAAATGAGCCATTTCTCCTTTTGTTCCAAGTTACTGCACAGTTCATGTCATGCTCTGGTGTCGCTCTTCTTGTGGTTGCACATACCTCAATCGACCAATATATGCGTCTGCATTAAGTATTAAAAACAAGCTTGATGGTTTGGCACACTGCATGCTACAATGATGAATTCTACTGCATTAAAAGCTCTCCAACAACAGCACTAATGGATAGATGTAAGGGGGAGGGTAACCTTGATTTTATGATTTGTTGCAAATCATACATCAGTCAAGTCTTTAGCAGAATGGATGTGGGTGTGAAGGATGGTTGTTCTTGGAGTTATTAGAGAGAGAGCGCGTGCGCAAACTAGAATAAACTAGTTTGCTGTTGCTGCACTAATATTTTGCATCTGTAGAGAGGAAGTGTACTGAAGTGTCCAAGAAACTGCATTTAAGATCTTAAGAAGAACACAAAGATCTTCACTAATTATTTTCAGTCAGGATTTGGGCCAAAGAAAATAAAGGTCACCATTAATGGCTCACAAAATGAAATTAAATACTCACAAAACTAGGTTCATCTGAAAGCACTCAATTTATTACATAATTTACATTGTAAACAAGACTACACTTCTGAGATTTAATTCTTCCTGACCCATTCCAATTCTGGAGAGAGAACAAGGAGGTATTAAACTGGCTACTTGACAACCTTCTTGCCGTTCAGCACATTTTAAGGTCTATATCTTGCCACAGAATTAGTTTTGGTACAAAAATCTCATTGATTTCTGTGAAAGTTCTTCATGTAGAACCAGGAAAAATAAAGCCCTAGGTTCCCATGATCTACCTGTGAATTCCAGTACAATGATAGTCTCTATTTTTAGTTTTTTTTCTTTAGTTTGAATTATTAATATAAACAATATAACAATGATTAATCCATGCAAGCAATACCAATGAACAGGTCTGTTTGTTCTAATTGTCACCACGGTTTTCATTCAATCATTTGGCAACGGTAAAACCTCTCAAATTTAAATGCATGAGTTGATTGCTATCAATATGTTTCCTTAATTGTAACTTTTGGTAAGAAAAAAACCAAAACACATCAAATGTAGCACAGAGAATCAGAATCAGATTAATTTAATCAGCAAGTTCATTCTGAAATAATAAGCAGGATTCTTTTAAAAGTTGCTGCTAATTGCATCTTTTTTTGCTTTGTTTTTAGTTTAATTTTAACCAACTTAGCATTCCACCTATTATCACAGGTTACTTGCACCTTGGTTCTAGACATGAGGAAGCAAGCAAGTGAGCTGCATGCTCACTTATTTCTCACTACCAGAGCATGTGGTAGGTGACTGGGCATGGATATGGGCATAGCCTGCGCCCCATCACCCGTACTTCTGGCTGGAATGGGGGTATAGGCCAGCAGCAAATTACTAATCTATCCTGCAGCACAGGGATAGCTGGGCAGGATTTGATTTGGAGGTGTGCCTCTGTGTGTCGATGCCAACCATGGCTATCCACCTGGGTGGTGCAGCTTACGCATCACTTGCCTAAAGCTGGGCTTAAAGTCAAACCCTCTCTCTGAATTAACAATTAAAAAACAGTAAGTGGAATATAAATAGGCCGTGTGGGGCTGAGAATAGGGATGTGAACACTGGTCTATTTACAAAACCAAAGCATGTTTAAACTGATTCATAGATGCAAAATAATTAAATCATAAAAACTAACATTGCCTAATTGTTAAATAATTAATTCAATAAAAGCCTTTTAACTTGTATGTCTTAGACACAAGGAGTTCTAAATTAAATTTCCCTTAGGTGCAGATAAACCAATTTCAGATATTTTGTTCATATAAGAATAGGTAACAACAGGCTGACATTTCCTAAAGTCATTTGCTTATTTGAACCATGATGTGGTGAAACCTGACATCTCAGCAGCTTACAATTCTACCTTGAAATAAAATAAATAAATAAAACCAAAAGCCTCATTGGCAGTCTAACTGCAGCCCAAATTAGTCTCAGAAGTATTCTCCCACGTTCCTACTATTAGCAAAGGAGATCATATGGATAGCTTAGTGGTTTGAGCATTGGCCTACTAAACCCAGGGTTGTGAGTTCAATCGTTGAGGGGGCCATTTAGGGAACTGGGGCAAAAAAATAGTTGGGGATTGGTCCTGCTTTAGCAGGGGGTTGGACTAGATGACCTCCTGAGGTTCCTTCCAACCCTGATATTCTATGATTCATACAGAGAACATTATTCTTAGAGCAGTTTTACAGTTCCCTTGCAGAGTTATTACTACAGCCTTCAAAGCTTGCCTGCTGTAATTCACCTCTTCTCTAAATGTGTTCAAATCATTCAGAATAATTACATTTTTATTTATATAACAGATGTTTAGTCAGTAAATACTAAGTGGTTTCCTTATTTTCCTCTCTGCAACCCAAATCAATCAACATTTATTTTTTTGAGCACAACAGTAAGAACAGTCATTTTAGGAACTGAAGGTTGAATGTCATCCTTTTATTATACACAAACATTCATGCTGATTTGCTGTTTAGATTTTTATTTTAATCTACTTTACACCAGTCATTCAGATTCTTTTGCTACATCACCAAAAGTTTTGTTAGTTTGAGATCTATAGCCTGAATTTTAAAAAAGTGACTAGTGATTTTGGGCACCTTGATTTTCAGGTGCCCGAATTGCAACATTATAAAAAGGACCTGATTTGATTGGGCAGGTGCTCAGCACTTTATAAAAATCAGGTCCCTTTCAGGTGTCCTAAATTGGGCACCCAAAAAGTGAGGCACCTAAAATCACTAGTCACTTTTGCAAAGGTAGGCGATATGTCTATATAATGTATGTTTAGTATGGTCTTCCCAAAATTTATCAGAAAGATACTAAATTAAAGAGATTTTGCATCAATGCATATTTTTCAATTTTGGAGGACACTTCAAATCTAAAGGTTTATATTTGTAGTTCAAATATAAACCTATCACACCATTTCTGCTGTTTAGCTGCCTGCTATTCAGAGTGCAGCTTCAAATCAGTGATTACGAAGCATCAGTGCAATGGTGCTAAATATTTAGTTCAGGGCTCTCTCTCAATTCTTCATTAGTTTTGTGATAAAGATGTAAGGCCTGAGCAACTACTAAATAAGATTTGAGAAAGTTTCAAGAGTAATTAAGAACCATGACAGTTTGCCAAAGAACTATTTGAAGGAACTGAAAGTCAGCAGAGAGTAAATATTTCAGAATTTGTGGAACGATGAACTCATGAGTCTTGGAAAGGCACTGGTCAAGAAGATAATCCAAAGGCTTTGAAGAAATTTAGTCTTTTGCTCCTGCTTTTGTTTGAATAGCTTGTTTTTCAATAAGGAAATTACACATACATGATATTTTAAACTGAAGTATAAAAGAGAAGGCAGCAGAGTGCTAGTCACAGAACTAGAAGTCAGAAATTCGACTATGAATCCTGGCTCTGCCAATGACCATTCTATGTGGTCCTTGGCATACCCAAATTTCCAAAAGGTACCCTCTGATTTTGGGTGCCTCCATTTTGGTTACCCAACCTGAGATGCCTTTTGTCTGATTTTCAGACATGCTGACCACCTGCAATTCCCACTGACTTCATTTGGAGTTGTGGGTATGCACCAATTCTGAAAGTCAGCCCCAAGCTGTCTCAAGTTTAGAAACCCAATAACGGAGGCCCCAAACTTAGTGTCCTCTTTTGAAAACTTTGGCCTTAAGCTTTTTGTTTCCATTTTTCTGTCTGCAAAATGGAAACCCCTCTTCACGGAAGCGTTATGAGAATTAATTTCATTATACTTGCAGAACACTATATATGTACCAAATATTATCTTGTGCAATTGTCCTCTCACAATTTATTATACCTATCTTATAACCTTCCTCCTCATTCCCGCTCTTTTGTATTTTCTATAAAAATATTATATATTTAAAAACAGAAAACAAAATCTGATGAAATTATATCTATCTATCTATCACTTAACACGGTGTCTTGAAACACAGTCAGTCTCAGCCAGTCTGAAGCACCCTGCATCAGGAGAGTAACACTTAAACAACATCCTTTAAGTCATGAACTTGGCTAAACAGGAATTAAAGTGAGATCCGATACTGCCTGTATGGCCCGTTTGGGAGATGAACTGTAGCACTCTTAGCACAGGCTGGGACTTAAGATAAAAATTAGCCCTTAACTTAGTTACATGACAGCAAAACCTTGTTTGAAACCAGGCAATCTTTTTTTTGTCCAATAAATTCTAAGTATCAAAATGGTTACTTTTGAGATTATTTTCCTCAGGGTCAGATTCTGATCCCCTTACTCCAGACTAGCATGGCTATGTGTGCAGTTAAGTGCTGTTCAGTGCAAGTAAGGGGATCAGAATCTGGCTAAAAGTGTTCATATATGTGTTGGCCTGAAATGAAGTTTTGCAACTGTGACAGTCTGTCCCCTCTTTTCAAGACTATGATACAAAGCATAATTTGTACAAAATGTAAGGTACCATTTGAAAACTCATGATTTGCTGATCATTTTTGTCCTGGTAAAATATGTGTGGCAACATTGTATGTAAAGTTATAAGATTCTACTATATGATATTACTAAGATATATTCTAAATCTAGGGAAACAGCCACAAACCAGTTCCTCAGAGACAAAAGGCAAACTGACACCTCAGCCAGGGGTCAATGAAATCGAATGGACTATCACCTGGTTAAGTGGCCATTCTTCAGCAGGATAAAGGATGTGAGTGAGAAATCTACATTTTGGCAAAGAAACAGCTGGAGATTCCCATTCCCAAAGACTTTGTCTCTTGAACCCCAGCTGGTTCAAAGAAGAGGAAAAAGACTAAAGAATGGGGAACCGATGCCCCAATTTCTCTCCCCCTTCATCTCTACTTACGGCATCAACAACACTTGAAGGACAAAGGAAGCATCATTGGACTGGGGAGGGATCCTGGCTGAAAGAACCAGCCAGTAAGACTGATAGAACATGTGGTGAGAGAGAGAGACCCTTTGCTTTGAGTTCACATAGCTTGTTAAATTAGGCATTAGTTGTGATTTACTTTTATTTCTTTGTACCCAATTCTGACTTTTATGCCTCATTACTTGTAATCACTTAAAATCTATCTGTCTGTAGTTAATAAACTTGCTTTATTGTTTTATCTAAACCAGTGGGTGTTTGGATTGAAGTGTCTGGGAAACTTAATTTGGGATAACAGGATTTGTGCAGATCCTTTTCTATTAATGAAATGATATACTTTATATGAACTTGTATTGTCCAGGAGAGTGCTAGGCAGTACAAGACACACATTTCTGGGGGAAAGTTTGGGACAGGGAGTTTGCTGGTGTTGCCCTGCAGTATAATTCATGGGTGGCTGGTTATAGCACTCATGCAGTATAGCTCGGAGTGATTTATATATGTATGTGTGACCAGGCCAGGAATGGTTGCTCTCACAGCAAAGCAGTGTAAAAGGCACCCCAGGTTGGAGAATTGAGGGGACGCAGTTGTCCATCAGTCCAGATTGTACTTAATGTCACAGCAACCTTAAGAGAAATTAGAATGTAAATGCTGACATATTTCCTATGATGATGTGAAATGCACCATTATTACATAGGGTAATTTATACACATCCATGTTGGAGTAAAATTAATATTTAGAAATACTTCTGCTATATGGCACCGACTGCCTTTCCATGATATTTTCTGGGAAATCTTGGCAAATGTCCAATTCCAATTCAAAAGTCCAATGTGACTTGTGAGGCTAACACTCTTGAGAACTTGCTGAATCGCATATATCAACTTACTTTTCTGTCATTGAGCTCAAAATTTTCACCTTCGTAGTCACCCTTTAAAAAAAGAAAAATTGCATCACCCAACAAGTCACACCCAGAGCTGTTATGCGTCTCACATACCATGTATCCCACTCACGTAATGAATCAAAAACAGAAAGGCAATTTGTAAAATAATGCTGCATTATATGGGGTCATTTCTCATGGCACACTTTGTCTTCTGTCATCAAGCACATTAAGAAAAAGTAATAAAGTCGGTCACTGGGTAAAAGGAATGAATAAGTAATAAAGGCAGCCTAAAAACGTTAAGGGAAGAATGTGATTAGAAATAGGCCCACATTTGAGTGATATTTGGGGTTTAGTTCGTGCATTATAAAAAGAGGAGACCAGCTTAGAAGGCTGACCCATATCCAAACTGTCCCAAAGCTCAGGGGTGATTAAGTCTGGGGCTTTGATTTGGGGCCATTTCTAAATATGATAAGGTATACAATTATGGAACAAATAAAATATACATATCAGTGGCTATCAGAATCTGTCTACATGTCTAATAAAGCACAGCAGAACATTAACATGTACATGAAGTTGAATTTATTTAATCTTTTTGAACGCTAAATAGTATCTCTATAGCAGATGCTTGTGATAAATGCCAGATAGACAAAAGGCCAGATTCTGATCTCATTCACACCAATGTAAACCAGTGATAACCCCATTCAAATCAATGAAGTTTTATTAGTTTTAAACCCCCTGCAAGTGAGAAGAGTCTGAGGTTCAAAGGGCCTTTTCCACCATGATGTTACTTCATCTTCACACCACGATCCTTTATACACTCACAGAGCAGATGCAGCAGGGGCATTAAGCACTGCTCTGTTGACATTCATGAAGCCTATACAGGAAGGGACCATCTGTAAATGTTTCAACGCCATCCACTTCTCAGTCTCTTGAGTAAGGGTGTCAGTTAATGCTAACTGTGGTGTACCTATCAGTCCACTTTGGCATGGATAGTGATCCCCAAGTCATTTTATAAGGCTACCAAGTCAGAGGATGAAATCTTTGAGTCACTACCAACCTGATATAGATCCACACCAGTGCACCTGTGGTAAATGACTCCATATAAAATTCCTTACTGTCCTCTGATCCTACCAGTCCCTACTGGCACTGTACATTAAAGTATTTGGACACTTCCCCAATGGCAACCCATTATACATACAATCACTGACATTTCCTGTTTATATAGGGGGATGCCAGGGGGATTTAGACCAGGAAATTAGCCACTTGGAGTCACAGATATTAATACATTTCCTCACCATAGTGCCAGAGTCCTTGGGAGCAGAAGGTCAAAAACTAGCAAAAGTATTTAATTTGCCAAGCCACGTTAATAACTCCACTAACTTTATATTAAAATAGCATTTTTGATGACCAGGGAACTAACTTGGCAGGTATTATTAAAAGCCAACACAGCTGACAGGTAAAGACTGTACAAGTTGTGGAAACTCATTATAAAAGCAGAGCAGGAAATTAAGCTTGTGAAACACTAAAGATGTTTGGGATGATGCCATTAATATATAACACACTAAGGATTTCTTGGTGTCAGATTTGTAGAAATGTAAAATATATTCCAAGATCACTTACATCATGCAAAGGATATGCAGCACTGTAAACTCCATTGGCAAGCAGACTGGTGATTCCTTGAAAGACAAAGAAATAATAGCGATGTACAATTTTAAATTTGGACGGTCTCAAGTTAACATCCAACATTGCTTAAGAATTCCCTCAAAATAGCACTCATTTGGTTAGCTAATAAATCTTCTGCCATCTAATTCCTCTCCATATAGTTTCATTTTCATTCATACAGATCATTAAACAGGATTCATTTTACAAAATGGAAAACTGTAGAGAGTAAGAGGTAGTCATATGTTTGAGAATGAAGAATTAGGAGACAATGACTTGAAATGAGTCATTACAATAAATGACATTTTCTAAAAAGTCAGTCTGATTTGAAGAGCAAGGCTGCAGATTTTAAAGCAAAAGGTTGGATTGTAAGAAGAATATGGCTGGATTGATTGTGTAGGGGAACATACCTACTAGGGTTGCCAACAGTTCCTTATTACAAGGGACGTCCCTTATTTTTAAATCTTTGTACAAGGTCAGAAGTTTCTGAGTGCTGCAAAAGGCAGCAAGAAATACCCCAGGCAAATGTTGGTGAGTACTGCTTATTAGTAGTATTACTACTACTACTACTATCAGGAGGAGGGGCGGGAAAGGGGTGCTAAGAAAACAGTTTCTTATTTTTGAAATACAAAGTTGGCAACCCTAATACATACGCACTCATCATACACTCAAAGATTTTCAGATTGGTTAGCAAAGTTGTAGGGAAAGTCTTTGCAAAGACCTTCGCATAATACTTACCATATTTACCACATTTCCATCTTTTATTTAAAAGGGTAGTTTCCGTCTTTCTTCCCTCTCCTGTCCCTGTTTACACATTTGTCTATTAGTTACATACATGAGCCTTAAAGCAGTTAATGCTGCATCTGTAATGTGTGTGGGGTGGGGGAGCTCTGTGGAGTTTATTCTTTGCCTTGTGGAGAGTGACCTCATTCTTTAATTTTGTGATAAATTAAGAGAAGTGAGGACGTAACAGGAGAAGTTATACATATAGTTAGAATTGTGCAATGGGTGAAGAATGCACTTAGAAATCTCATCTTGCTACAGAATTCCAAAGACTGCTTAGCAGGATACAGATCCTTGGAGGCTATGGTATATAATTTCTAGATACTGTAAGTTTTATTATAGCTGTTGGCATTAATATAGCTACTGCCAAATATGGAGTTTCTACAAGTCTTTGAATGGGTCTCGTTACCCACTGAAGATATGTTTGGTGACTCTGCTATCTAATCTTGAACGATGACTTTTAAGATCACATCCTCAGTTGGTGTAAATTGACATTGCTCCATTGATTTTAACAGAGCTAAGCTGATTATCACCTGATCAAAATTGGGTCAATGTGTATAATAAGAGTTTAAGAATATTACAAAGAGAAAACAAAAAAAACCCGACATATTGTGGTGTGTTCTATCTAGACAATTGTTTATTGATCCCTTACGGACATAACAGCATGGGTCTGGATGCAGAGAAATATAGGGTATGTCTACACCAGCAGTTCTCAAACAATGGAGCAGGTCTCCCAAGGAAGGCATGGGAATGTGACAAGGGAGGCGCGAACTGTGTGCTTATTTTTTTTTTTCTTTTTAGGAACTTTGGCTGTCAGCCCCGGGTGGCTAGGGCTCATGCAGAAGGGCCGTGCACACCCAGGAGGCAGGGATAAAGTGTACAGCTGGAGTCCCACCACTTAGGCTGGCTCTCCTTCTCCCCCGGCCCATCCATCATCTGGAGATGGCAGGGCTCTGGCTGTCAGCCCCGAGGTGGCAGCAGCAGCGCCGAAGTAAGGGGTGGCAATGGTGCACTAAGTCTAATGTGAAAAGTGATATTGATGAATATCACTTTTCACATGGTCTCTCTTACTTCTGTGCTGCTGCTGGTACAGCGCTGCCTTCAGAGCTGGGTGTCCAGCCAGCAGCCACTACTCTTTGCTTTGCCTTCAGTGCTGGGTGGTGGTATATATACTTGGGGGGGGGGGGAAATAAACAACTACAGACACAAAGAAGGGGGCCCGATCAAATAAGTTTGAGAACCACTGGTCTACATTATCATGTGGTCATGGCCTCTGACACATGCCCAAACCCCCTTACCATCCATGGACATGGATATGCTCTTCAATGTCGATATACCCTAAGAGCATGAACCAATGAAGGGTGTGTTTTTTGGTACTGTCAGGGCCACCCAGGGGGTGGGGCAAGTGGGGCAATTTGCCCCAGGCCTCACAGGGGCCCCCATGAGAATATAGTATTCTATGGTATTGCAACTTTTTTTTATGGAAGGGGCCCCCAAAATTGCTTTGCCCCAGGTCCCCTGAATCCACTGGGTGGCCCTTGGTACTGTGGGCATTTTTACAAGCTCATTGAGGCCCTGATCTACAAGGCATGAAGTGACTGCTGGAGGAGTTGCTGAGTGTCCTCAACCCTCAAGAGGTGCTCAGCACCTTTCAAGGCCATGCTTGGAAAAAAAAAAATCCTACCAAGACTGCACAATTATCAAGTAGTAAGAATTACCTGCAGGTTTCACACTGCCTTCAGTTAGAAATGGGTAGCAGGCAGGTAATGCTCAGCTCTAGTGATTGCACTGCTGAAGATTTGAGCACCCCACCTACTATATATGGACATGAAAAGTTTTGGACTACAATTTGCAGTTTCACAAGTATGCACTGATAAACAGCAAAAGACTAGAGTGTTCACTGGGCAGCTTTGTTTTTTCTACTTGGCAGCAAAGTTCAGAGGAAAGCACTTCCAATATATCCCAGTGTTACTAGTATTTGTTTAAATCTGTTCCAAAACTTTCTTTGATTATATAATGACCGAACATACAAGGTCAGATGGAACCACATTGATTTACACCCACTGATTACATGACCCAATCACCTCTTTATATCATGCACTGTGTGTGTGGTTTTTCCATGCCCACATCTGGTGAAGGCGGTAGAAGGAGGGGGACCCAAAAATGTAACGTCTTTTTCCTCATTCACGTAACTGTTAATGTTGTTCCTGTTTCTGACCAGGAAAGCAAGCAAGCAGCCAACTCTAGGACAAGATTCCACATTGAGCTGTGGGACTTCCCCCTGCCACAGTGCAAGTTCGTTATTTCGGCTATGAAACCGATCCAGCAGGAGCTTTGAGAAAGGAAGGCCACTCCTGAATTTGGATTTCCCACGTTACAGGAACAGTGCCTGGTTGCACCCAAAGCAATCTTAAGGTATATAAGGACTCGCCACCTGTACACTTAGGTTGTGACTTAAATTGCAAAGTCAGAGTATACAAAGCACTTCTGGCTTAATCATCCCTCCATTATTTGATGGATTTCTTAATAGTATTTTTGTCAATATTTGTTCAGAGCTACCTGTAATTCAAGTTTCCATACTTGTATTTAACTACCTGTGGACAAAGGAATGTTTTAACAGTTGCCAGTTTTTCAATTTGATTTTTTTTCTTCCATGGGATATCAGGTGTGGAGATGACTGGACTTGAGGAAATTTAGTTTTTGCCACACATGATTTGGTTTATTATGAGCTATTTATTCACGTCAGTGCCATAGTTTAGTGGATCCCTGCATATCATAATCAGTGTTAAAGAGACTATAAAACAGCTGAAGAGGGGATACATGGTCAGCAGGTCTTTATCAGGGTGACCTGATTTTTATTTCTTCCTGTTTATTGAATTTAACAGTTGGATCAGTTCTGAAGGCTAAAATCCCACATCCATAGGCAGCGGTAGGGTAAGTTTCCCCATATTACTCCTCCACTTGTCACTGAACTAGAGAGACCACCTCTACTTCTAGTGATGAGGGATTAATCTAGTCCCCAGGCCCACTCCCATACGTGACCTCTCTGCTGAGTTAGTGAAGAATGCCAATAAGGGCCAATTATGGTAGAGTTTTGAAGACTTGTCAACTGAGACCATTTCACACAAGCCCTTAAAGAGCTATCAGATGAAAACAATTTTAGGTGACTATTGAAATAGACTGGACTTATGTGGCTGGATCTAGATTGTGATCCTGAAGCTGCTGAAGTCCATGGCAATATTCGCATTGACTTCAATGTGGATAGGATTAAACCCCTAGTGATCAAGAAACGATCACACATTATTAGTTGTGGGGCCATATCTTAGTGTTTTATACTGCCATCCAGTCCCTTTGTGAATGACCTCTTTGTGCCTGAAAATATTAATTTTGCTTTACAATTTGCTTAAAGATCTGACCATAAAATTGGTTTACAGCCATGAATCTACATATTTACAGATGAAAAATGTTCCTGACTAAACATAAATCATAAACACAATAACTAAACTAAATGAACTTAAATCAAAATATGGAGGATAAAAACAAAACAAACGAACAAACCATCCCTTCAGTCGCAATTTGCAAACATTTGTGACACCTGAAAATGATGTTGAACTCAAACCTACATAAAGTTCCTTACCCATGCTATACTTGGCTTTGGTACATGTTGTTCTTTTCAATATTTCATAAACCTATATTAACAAGATGGAAGAAAAGAAAGCGTTACTTGAGATACTGCCAGTGAACATCAAGATGTTCTGTGCAAATGAATCTTTTTCAGAGTACAACCCAAATAAAAGTTTTTGGCACAATTGAGCTGTTGGTCACAGCTAGTAAATCAATGTTCTCTATTAAAAGCTTGATATTATTATGATTTAAGGAATGTTATTTTCATATACAGTATCTGTAGAAAGAAAAAAAAAGCTTGATGACTAAACTGTCAGTTAGTAAGATATGTGATTTTTATTTGTTTGAGGGGAAGTGGGTTAGATTTAACTGTTTACTATGATAGTGATGCTATTCATAGGCACCATAGGAAACACATAGATCCCAGATTAAAGATCTTTTCCTACAAGCATCTTGTATGTTACTAAACTGGCATATAGCGCTAGATCCTCAGCTGGTGTAAATTGACGTAGCTTCATTGACTAAAATGGAGCTGTGCATATTTTACCACCTGAGGATCTGGCCCATTAGATCTAGGCAAAGCTCCAAAAACTCACCATTTTGTCAATCACTGAGTTACATAATAAAATAACTTGACACTAAAATTTCCTAGGCATTATGACTTCAGTGCCAAAAATGGCATTCGTTTATGATTTAATTTATTGTTGAACATGTTTGTTATTGGACTGGAGGGAGGCTAGGGGAAATTCTTTTGTAATTAAAAATGAATTAAATAATAAATGAACCCTGTGAGGGACAGCACCCTACTCCCCTTTACCCTGTCTAGTCAGGAGAACCATAAAGTGGTTTCTTCAGGATGCTGGCCTGCTCTCTCTCCTCTACACCATTCCCCATCCTACACCATTTACAGATGGAGAACTGAGACACAGAAGAGACTAAGGGTATGTCTACACTACAGGATTAATCCGAATTTAGATAATTCGAATTTGGGAAACAGGTTGTATAAATTCGATTGTGCGCGGCCACACTAAGCACCTTAATTCGGTTTTAAACCACATTAATTCGGTGGTGTGCGGCCACACTACCCCATTAACTTAAACACAGTAATTCGGTGGTGTGCGTCCACACTAACCCTAATTCGAATTAACAAAATCGATTTAGGCTCTACTCCGTTCGTCGAGGTGGAGTACAGAAATCGATTTAAAGGGCCCTTTAATTCGAATTAACTGGCTCTGTAGTGTGGACGGGTGAAGGGTTAATTCGGATTAAGGCAGCTAAATCCGAATTAAAGTCCTAGTGTAGACCAGGCCTAAGTGACTTGCCTAAGTTCATATAGGAAACCTGTAGTTGAACTGAAAATTGAATTGGAGTCTCTTGAAGCCCAATCAAGTTCCCTATCCACTAGCCAACTTTCCTCCCATCTGTCATTCTGCCTTAAATTTTACTGCTTGCAGTGTTGTAGCTGTGTTGGTCCCAGGATAAAAGAGATAAAAGGTGTGTGAGGTAATAACTTTTATTGGACCAACTTCTGTTAGTGAAGCAGACAAGCCTTTCAGTTTGTGGACTTTGAAAGCTTGTCTCTTTCACCAACAGAAGGTGGTCCAATGAAAGTTATTACCTCACCCACCTTATCTCCCTTAAATATTTCTTAACTTGGTTGAGCTCTCACTCTCACATATGGCAACTTGGTTGAGCTGAGGGGTTGTTAGAGAAATCAATTCAATAGTCTCATATGTTTACTAATGATTATACGTTATAAACTATAGTCCTATCTAGATTTATCAACAAACATAATAACTCTTCTTGAGACACATGCATTAGCTTCTCAAGGGACTGCTTCATCATATTGTATTCATCCTTGTTCCCTGCCCAAACCTTTCATCTCCTCCCTTTGCTCTTTTCTTAATTTAGGGCTATAATGTGACTACTCAGGGTCTATACAGCAGATGAGCAAGGAAACAAGTGGGCAGGAAGTTAGAGGAGCCCCAGAGGAATCATTCCTCTATTATTTGCACCTAAAGGTCCCAAATGAGCTTGGGACCCATTATTATTTTCTGTATTTTTGTAGTGCCAGAACTCCATTGTGAAAACGTGGCAAGAGACACCCTGCCCAGAAGAGCTTACAAACTAAATGGACAAGACAGACAGAAGACAGGAGGAAACACAGACACAGAGAGGTAAAATTACCTGCTCATGGTGACATCATAGGTCAGGAACAGAGCCTATAATACAACTCAGGTTTCCTGACTCCACATCCAGTACCCTATCCACTAGACTACATTACCTCTGACATGCCTAAGGCACAATCTAGTCCTTAGATTGTAAATGCTCTGGGGGCAGGGACTATGTCTTTATTTGCATTGCACATCTGTGGCACAAAACAATTAATAAATAATAATAGCTCTTCAGAAGAGCTGTGTGTAAGCTTGAATGCTTGTCTCTCTCACCAATAGAAGTTTGTCCAGTAAGTGGTATTACCTCACTCACCTTGTCTCTCTATGGCACTTCTACACACAGAGCATTAAGTCCTGCAATGGAGTTGTAGGGGTGTAAATTAGGGCAAATTTATAAAATGCTGTACAAGCAGTAGAAGAGGGAGTGTGTCTAGTGAACAGAACACCAGATCTGGAAGCAGAATCTGTATTCTATTCCTGGCTCTGAACCAACTCACTGTGTACCTTTGGGCAAGTCTCTTCACTCCCAAATGCTTCAGTTTCACCATCTGTAAAATGGGAGGTAATGATACTGACTTCCTTTGTAAAGAACTCTGTGGATGAAAGAGTCTATACACCTGCTAAATATTATTAGAATTCTGAAAAATCTACCCTAGCACTGACTAGAGTGCACCATAGACGTGAATGTCACAAGTTAATATAATAAGGGAGAATGGTCATTCAGACAATAACTCTGATTGAATTTCAGTGACTTCTGTTCCTATTAAGATTGGTTTAATGTCATTTTTGTTGTTGTTAAATACAGATAATATTTTAAAAGTTAGATGTAAATTCTGCTCCGTAGCCCAGTGCTGCTTTAAAAATATCCACCAGTGCCAGTAATATCTAGCTCTTTAGAGAGTGTTTTTCATCAGTAAATCTCAAAGCTCTTTGCAAAGGAGGTCAGTAGCCTCATTTTACAAATGGGGGAATATAGGCACAGGAAGGGGAAGTGACTTGCCCAATGTTACCCAGTAGACCCGTAGCAGAGCCAGGAAAGGCATCCAGATCTTCTGAGTTCCCGTCTAGTGCTCTATCCATTAGTCCTTGTGGTGTCCCAGCATTATTGAGACTCTAAGGGTATGTCTACACATTTGGTGGTTTGTAAAGTACAGACACTGCACGCAAAGTGAGCATGTGTATAAACAGCAGTGTAAACAGTGAGGCACAGCTTAGGCAAGTGGAGTAGAGTAAAGTGCCCAAAATGCCTGAACCCCTGGTGAATGTAGCCTACACTGCTCTCTACATGCCCAGACAGCGCCTCTCATGTCTACACTGCTATTTTTAGCAGTGTATTGTCCCGCTGCCTCCCTGCTGCCAGAGACTTTCCCAGTTGCAGTGAAAGGCTCCGGCAATATTGAAAGGCTCTGGCAGGCAGGAAGCAGTGAGGAAAGACACCTCATTGCCTCCCCATTGCCAGACTCTTTCACTGCTGCGTGTAGCTACACACTGCAGTCAGAAGTGTGGACACACCCTGCCTTTCACAGCGGCATGTTTCTACACATGTAGTGCCTGTACTCTACACACCACCGTAAGTGTAGACAAAGCCTAATAGAATCAAAACTGAGTTATTGTGCAAAAGAAGGCATACTGTTAATCCCAAACAGTATTTAGCAGCCACACTAGAACTGCGCCCTGGAAATGCTTCATTCGGTTATTTAAACAATTTCTGTCATTGACAATTAGTGGCATTTGGTACTGGGAGTTTGGATTAAAACTAGCAAAGGAGCACTTGAAACCCACATAATTTATGGGAATACCCCTGCTGTAAATTATTTTAAAATACAATACTTACTATCGTGCTTCTAGTTTTGCTGTCAAAAAAGGACTCTTTGTCAGACAAATCAAATCTGTTAAAACATTAGAAAGGAGAAAAAAAAAGATTGCTCATTAGGTAAAAAACTGCCTATAATTTTCTACACTTGGTGACCTCTTTTCATTTATCCTGGGGATACTGCTGAGCAGTAATGTTTACTGCTTGTGATGAATGTTATTGTCAATGAATAAACATAAAATGAATCTAATCTAATATCCCTTCTAAAAGAAATGCCCATCCCAAACTCCCCAGTTTAGGGGGTTTGGCAACACGTTTCATTGGTTTTATAGATTCATAGATTTTTAAGGCCAAAAGGGACCGTTATAATCATCTACTCTGACTTCCTGCATAACACTGACCTAGCATTTCACCCAGTGATTTTTTTGATCTAGCCAAGAGTTCTTTTGTTAATCACGCTGGCCCAGCTTTTGCCTCCTTTATTCTGTACTTATTCCTTGGGGGGTGGGGGGGGGGGGAAGTGAGACTAGACATGTGTAAGATCCTTCTCAACCCAAGTGCAAGTTACTAAATTTGACTCTTTGTGATACTCGGGCATCTGATTATTTTATTGGATGAACATCCCTCATGCTATAAATTCACATATCAGGTCAATTTCTACAAATCTGGGCATATATCAAAGGTGACATACTCTGCAAACATGTCATTTACATGCACCCATATTCTGCCTGATACCATCCTACTGCACAGCTCCCTTTCATATTCTGTGTCCACTAAAGGTAAAAATAAATGTCTGTGTGGTGGAGATGCTGTGCCCAAAGACTATTATTTGCTCTGGGGAGCTGTGTGTTGGTATACATATAAACCATGCCTCTTCTCCCAGAGCCACATCCTCTTAAAACCTCTCTGCTCCTGGGATGAGACACCAGGAGGGCCTGTAGAATGGTCTTGCCAAAGATTTCCAGAGGAGACAAAAAACTTTTGCCAGCCTCTGCTTTTTCTATTTTTCCTGACATGCACATATACACAATTTCAATTATTCTTGAGATCTCATAATAGGCCCAAACCTGTTCCTATTGAAATCAATGGCAAAACTCCCACTGACTTCAAGGAGAGCCAAATCAGGCCCTCTCCTTGTAGATGGTACACAATACATGTATTACCTGCCCATATACTATTAAGGAGGCTATCAGTTATGTTTATCAAACCACACTCCTATCTACAAATCTTACTGAACACTTCATTTTTGCAGTGAAAAGGACCATAGTAAAACCATAAGTATTATGATATAAATTTATCTTTGAAGTCAAAAAGGCATATTTGTTACTCTGGTCAGGAGGGTTGCTACATATACTATATGACAGCTAAAATGAACACAAATGCCACACAGATTCTTAAAAAGCCCAATTCCTGCACAGTGAACTAGATAAGCTTTAACTTATTATGAAAAGGAAAAGTGACCATTTTAATGATCACTTCTGCAACATCAGTTCTGATGCACATTTTTCTATGAACCTATTCATGACTGTGTCTCAAGTGGTATGACAAAGGCTTGATCCTGTTGATGCAAACGGTTAATTTAGAAGAAGCTTTCACTTACAAGTGTTGTTTCTCCCGGGAGAAGGGGTAAGAGAGGCGTTTCACTGTCTCTGGTTTGTGTTCTGCTACTTTTGGCTGGATAGGTTCTGTTATTTTTTGAATTACAGAATTAATTTTTTTCAAAAGACCATGGGCTTGATTTATCTGATACACCTGAGAAGAAGGAAATGAACAATTAATACAATATTGCTCTCAAATTATTAATAAAAAGATACTGAAGTATAAGGAATAAAACCATCATTTAAATAAATACACTCAGATAAACTAATAAGGAGCAGTGTGCTATTGCTCTACCTTCTTTAAAAGGTTGAGAAACAGATGGACAGGTTGTGAAAGGGGCAAATTGAGGCAAACTCAGAGTCCAATTAGTCCCTAAGAGTCAAATCCTGCCCCTTATTCATTCCAAAGGATAAGGCTGGACTGCTTCACAGAGCTAAAACCATAGAGCTACTCTGTGGCCACTACAGCAGCTTAAAGGTTGAAGTAACTTCTGTGGCTCTTGTAAGCTGCTCTGTGGGGTGAGAGCAAGGACTGGAAGATCCACATAGCAATGGATTCCTTCTCCCAAGAACTGATGAGTGTAACCACATCAGGAGCACACTTCTGACCTCCAGGGTGCCCAGGGAAGCTTGCATGTGAATGCCCTGCATCATGGGCTGTTAGCATCCCACCCATTCCATGTAATGGAACCACAGTGGATCTACTTTTCACTAGTGCAGTAAGGGCAATTTGGGCCTATGGTACCAAACAAGTGACAAAGTTATACAGGAATTGTATTAGAAGATAAAAAAAGAAAAGAATAAACTTCACAGCCTGAGTCACAAAGTTCTGCTCTAAAGCCAGATACAAAAAACCTGAGGTGTCTAGATGAAGGGGTTTGGTTTGAGCTCATTTCTAGGTGCAGCCAAGTGAAAATTCATTCCTCATTTCTGCTAGTACAGGCAATAACTGGACTATGAAAGCTTAGAAACCTCTCACTCACTTGTTTGACAAAAATGCCCTTTCGTATGTGATACCATTGCTCCAAGGAGCTTAATGGCCTTAACAAAAGAGGAAACATAATTAAAGTAAATAAAGTGATAAGTGGGCTAGGATGCCACTAATACAATATTTAAACCAAAAGTTTAAATTTAGTTTTACTTGCAATAAATTACTTTGGGCTTTGAGGCTGTCTCTTGTTCCATTAGAGACTTCTTTCTCTGCAGTGTCTGGAACCGGCACTTAAGATATCATTAAATATTAATCCACCTCTAAGTTATGTTCACTGAATAGTACAGCTACATATCAAAGATTATTTAAATTTTGGTCTCTGGAGAAAATACAATATTACTTTTATAATGATACTTCAAATATTCCAAAGGGTAATTTATTCTAAGCTAATTTAGTTCCAGACCCTGCAAACACTTACATGCATGATTAACTTTATGCACATGAGTAGTCTCTGAGCTCAATGGAACTATTTGCTTGCAAAATGCTACTCTCACATATGTGTTCAGGATTGGGGCTTTGCTGGAGTAAGAAAAAATAAACATTCCACATAGTGTATATTTAAGAGTCCATTATCAGCTGCAATCTACCATTTCAAAAGGTACTGAAGGTATGAAATACTGTACAAACTCGTTTGTATCATGTGAAGAATAAGACCAGGAGCTAGGAACTCTTGATTTCTGTTCCCAGTTATGAACATGATTCTTTCTGTAGCGTTAGGCAAGTTAATTAGGCATTCCTCCTCAATTTCCTTAGGTGTAAAAGGCAAATAGGAATACTTATCTCCCTCGCAAAGTTGTTATGAGGATTAGTTAATGCTTGTAAAGTACTGTGAGGATGAAAAGCCCTACATAACTGTTGTGTGTAAATTGTGTGTGTGTGTGTGTGTGTGTGTGTGTGTGTGTGTGTGTGTGTGT